CTTTTTGCTGCCTTTGCAAATAAAACATTACCAGACTCTTATTATTTTTATTGGTAGAAACTCTTGCAGTGTATAACTGTTAGTACAAGAATGAAAAGTTCTGGGTAAAAAATTGAGGGAAAGATATGAGTGGAAATCAACTTTTCTGAAGTGTAATTAATGTATATGAAAACACAATTTTTTTTTTTTTTTTTTTAAGTTTCCTATCATATTTTCCATCTGGTATCTGCAAAGCTTTTAAACTTCCACTTCCTCTGTGCAGTTTTGCAATATTCCTATTCACAGGAAGTAAGAGGAAGAGCTTTATGAGGGATACATTACAAATAGACTGTATGTAGGTGTTTGGACAAAATAGCTGGGCTCAAATCTGATCTCGTACACACTGAAGACCCTTCAATGGAAGTATGAAATTCAGCTTGTTTGTGACCTGGTGCTTCATTCTGCAGCACTGCTTATTTTTTGTACAAATTGCTGTTATTTTTTTCCTAGTGCTTTTCATCTGTGATCTCAAAACACCTTATTAAGCAAGAATGAAGGTCTTTACAGTTTTTAGACTTGGTAACTGTAAATACAATCTATGCCTAAGAAGTGCTTCAAAGGCCAGGAGTTGGTAGCAGACTTCACTGATTTGCTGAGCCAGGTTCCTTTATTCCCAGTTCAACATGCTATCAATACACTGCTTTCCAGTGTAAATGAGTGTTTCATAAACAGACTGGAGAACAGCACAGCTCTCAACAGCTTGTGAAAACAAGAATAAAGCAATCAATTATAGCTTTGTGTCTTGGTTGCAAAAAGATTGGTCTTAGGACTGAGGAGGGTGAAAAGAACATAAAGGCTCTGGTGAATTGCATTGTTCTGCTCACATTTCCCTCAACAACAACAGGAACCCAAGATGCCAGTGAGGAGTGGCTGATTATTCGCATAGTTTTGTAACAGCAGCGCTGAGGTTATTACAATGTCCATGTTACATAGCAAGGCTGTAGAAGCCTACACAGAGCCATTCTTTCCTTTTTTTTTCTCTCCTATTCATTTTTCCTTTCATCACTGAAGGCAGCTAGAGCCTTATAGTGTGAAATTCAAGAGGAGAGCCAAGCTTCCTCTCCTTTAAACATTCCAAACGATTGATGAACTCAAAATCTGCTTCAGGATCAACATCCAAGTTTTGCAAATGATATCTATCTTACCAATTAGCTGATCCAAACCTCCAGATTTCAAACTACAAATATAAATATCCCATGACTTTAATCAATTTCCAGTCCAGCTACAGGAGACTTATTCTGTTACTCATTTCTTACAAGTTTCACTTCTTCTTCATATTACTTGTCAGAATAATAAATTAATTTCCATAAACACAGAGTTATTTAAGTTATTTTTTCCCTGAAAGCTTGAAACAATCAATTCACAAATCTTTCCTCCCTCTTGTGCCTTCTCCTGCCTCCCCTTTCCCAGCCCACAGGTATAACAAAACTGCCTTGCAAGATGAGCCTTAAAAGTCTATGAACATAAGCTTGTAAATCTGGCTCTTGAACAAGCTCTATTATTTTTAACTGCTTTTGTGTAAGACAAGAGGCTATGTAAAGAACAGGATGTTTTGAACATTGAACTCTGGTGCATTACGTAATACTGCTGCTGCAGATTTGATGTAATTTCTCTGCAGGTGTCAAAGGCATCATAATGAGTATGCTACTGAGATGTTAAACATTTGCTACATATAAGCCCAGTGGAATTATTGATATACTTTTTTTATCAGCAGAAATGCCAAGTTTGCAGTTTGTCTTATATTCAATTGAAATTACAACACAGCCTATTCTTGCAGTCTATTTAGATTTTATTGTACTTTGAAATAAATGCAAACAGGATACTTAACAGATTTTTGTTAATCTCCACTTTTTTAGGAGATGCATGAGGTGGACCACTTCTGTCTTCCTGGGGACCTAGGGCTGCTACATTTTTCCTTAAGTACGGAAGGATAATTGCATTTGTATCTACTCTGCACGATTGCTCTGCAGCCAGGTTCTCAGTTGCTCTTCTTGCCTCAGTCCCTTGGGGAAATTCAATGATACAGAAACTAATCCTTCCAAATAATGCAGGTGTCAGAGGTCTGTGTAAGAGGAAGGCTTGGCAGAATCTCTTGTGGAAATTTACACAACATCTGCCTGCACAATGGCTGGACAGTACTGTTCTTCCTTCAGTTGTCAGGTGCATTGGAATGTGTATAGAAGAAAACCCAAAGAAAATAGTAGATCCAAGATTCTAATGCATGAAAAAAATGCCGTTATTGTTGGAAATACAAACCATGATTCATTTTTCAAGCAATTTTTCTTGACTCATTAGTACCTTCTGTCTTGCAAAAGTGCACTTGGTAGTAATTGAGCCATTAAGGAAAGAAGATATCATCATGTTTTAGTAAGATAATCAGTTAATTTTGTTATTTTTAAACTTTTGTCAGGGAAATTTGCCTTTTTGACTACCAAACCTGAGTTAAAGAATTTCCACTTATAATACACATGTAAACAAGGGCTTGATTTTACATGGCAAAAACATGGCTCAAACTAATGTGGAAGAACAGTGTTGTAGTGATTTGGGAGCACAATATTGAGAGAGACTTCTCTGAAGAGGGAATGCATTATTTGTTCTGCTGTTCCTATCTCTCTCACCCTTTCAGTTTCAACACCCTCTTCATGCTGCACTCATTTTGTGTCCTGGCTTCTAGATACATTCCTCCATGGTCACTTAGAGTTCTCTGGTATCATCTTACCATCATACACGATTCTTTACAGACAACTATTATCAGCTTTACGCTCACTTATTCACAAATTAGTGCCATTATTGTGGTGGATGAGCTAAGAACTGTGCTGCCTCTTCGTGTCCTCTAAGTATCACTTTTCCCCTGGGCCATTCATTCAACATGGGGTGGGAAAAGTCACATTCCTTGCTAAATTCAGCTACTGTCTAATGAGACCAGTCTGTGTTGCATTTCTGCATGGAAATTCTGGCCGTTGAAAACACCTGTTCCATCCCCCAGTTTGTATTTCTGCCTGCAGGAGGGAAGTCCCAGTTGTACACTCACCAGTGCTTTGGCCAGCCTAAAAAGGGACAGTTTTCGAGGTAATTTTGTTACTGATCTTGCCTTCCTGATTGGATACACTTTTTAAGTGTCCATTTTGTCCTGACATAAATGACTGTGCAAAGCATTAAGCAATGATGAGCTGTCTTTGGGGGCTGCTTGGAGCACAGGCTGGACACTGGGATGAGAAGAAAAAGTTGGAGGCAGTGTCCTCCTTCTGGTCCTCACAGAACAGCTCATAATGTGACACATGCTTTATGCAAGGACTTGTCCTCAGTAGCAGATGTGCTCCTGCTTGCTTGCTTGTTGGGGTCTTGTTGAGCTTCTCTATTGCCCTGCATTTAAGAGAATGCTTGCAGTGCCTCCAGTGATGAAAAGTAGGAAAGTTATGCATAAGAACAGTCATATTTAATTGTTTATTCATCCATGACTACATGTGTTGTTCATGGTCAAAATCAAATCCCTTTATACCTTACAGGAGGTAAAGGATAAGAGGGAAGAGAGCTCACTACCCCATCCAGTCAATGGACTGCTAAGGAAAATCAAGTCCCATAGAGAACTCTATGTTGTATTGCCAAGTCTTAAAGTTTTGTTTCAAATCTAGTGATATTTTATATTTTAAGCCTTCATTCCTTATGTCAAGGGATACTGTGAGAATCTGAACATTCTTTTTTAAAAAGAAACTTCAATAATCTTACAGTATGTTGTGAGGGTTTGAAAACTCACAAATTAGGAGACAAGAAAGGATGAACTCTTTGAAAATCTTATGACTTTTTCTCCTGCAGCTTTGGGATTTTTCAGCTTTGATTCACAATTTTTGAAAATTTGGAACAGCTGACAATATTTCTGTCCTTTTAAGGTGCTGCTATGTAATGGAGATGGTACTCTGAGGATAGCTTCTCTGGCAAAGGAGAGTTTTTAAAATGCATAGCTCATCTTTTAGAGTGCTTGTCACAATGGAGCTGTGAGACTTCACAGAGAATGTCAGGCACAACCACAGTTAAAATAATAAATAAATGAGGCATCTCATTCTATCCGGAGATGCTGTATGGAACTGCTGTTAAAATACATATTTGCAAATAAAAGCAGCCTAAATTTAACTATGACTCAATTACACTAAATCTGACCCATTTTTGTTCTGTGTTTCAATTTAACACTTATTTACATTCTTAGACTTGGCGCTGTGGAAGAGAAAGGAGGGGGGAACAGGCATTTTCATCCTCAGAATTGCTATTAAAAAATGGTGATTAGGAAAACACAGCTATAGTCAGCCTGAAGCTGGGTAGCTCATTTGAACCCACTATAAAAGAAAAGATCGTTTTCTCATCCTATTAAAACTGAGTTAGCAACGGCTGCGTAGGCGGCAGGAGATCAGAAATGAACGTCCAACTTGGAGTTTGTACAACTGGGGTCGGGTCCAAAGCAAACTGCCTGATTAGTGAAACAATTTGTTTTTTACAATGACAGCAAATAGGTAAATCTTGTGAGCGTCAGGAAATCCTGGAGGATTTTGAATGGGAGCACTGACTGGTTTGCAAGCTGCACTTTGATTAGAGGGCATCGTTGCCTCTGGTGTTCGTGCTCATGTAGCAGGGACACAAACAAGAGGGACTCAATTTGCTAGGGGCATTTATTTCTCTGTCTCTTCCTCTCTCTCTCTTGTTTTTACAATCTATGTGTAATGACTAATTGGCTGTGTTTTCCCAGCTATTTTATGTTTCTCTTGCCCTGGTTACAACGCGTACTAAAGCAGTATATCCACAGGGACCTATAGACAGCCAACACTGCCAAATGATACGCAGCATTCCCCTTTCTCTCTAAGTGTAAAACATTTACAAGTAAATTTACAAATGCATTAAGAACATTTCCTCAGTTGACTGTTAGTGTTTATTTCTTCCCCTTCTCCTCGCGGGAGCAGACACCTTCCAGCCCCTCAACTTTCACACACTGCTCTCCCGTTATTTGCCTCCTTCCCTCCCTGTCGCCCCTTTCCCTCCTCTCCCTCCTCCTCCTCCTCCTCCTTTTCCAGTTCAGCGGCGCAAATTTCTGTTTGTGCCAGTGGGGCGGCCTGGCGAGACCGCAATTGCTCTACCCCACAGATTGACGAGCCCTCAGATGCCGATTTACTGTACATGGCAGCCACGCTGGAGCCGCGGCACATCTGGAGTGGAGTAAGCTTACTCAGAAACAGGGGCCAGCTCCAGCCGGAGCCAGCGGAGCCGAGCGCGGCGCTGAAAGGCAGCCCTCCTGCCTCCCCTTCCCTCCTCCCCGGGTACATTTCCTAATGTAAACAGAGGCCAGGGGGGAAGGACACAGTAACTCTTTGCTGCGTGTTTGTCATTTCATGTTCTTTATCTGCTTGAGGTCAAACTGGAGCTCTGGAAAAACAGAAGCTTTGCTTTCATTCTAAACAGCTGAAAGCCAGCGCTGCTGAAGGGAAAAAAAAAAAAAAAAAAAAGAGAGAAAGAAAAAGAAAAAGAGTTTGCTTTTGTGTTTATTTGTTCCACTTTATGGTAATTTGGGGGATAATTTCATTATCTGCAGCCAAATTGAAAACAAGCTGTTGTCTATGCTAATGATACCAGTGTATTATTTTATGTACAGTAGGCATGGAGCCCTTTAAATGACGAGTGTATTTCTGCTTACAGCTGTCCTACTTTAACTATTTTTTTTTTATAGTTGCAAAATGGGACTTTTCTTTTATATCTTGAAACAAAAAAGATTAGCCATGGCTGCTTTGTTTTACAAAATGGTGAATACCTTTCACCACCCAGTGCCAACCTGTTGTCCCACAAAAGCATTCTGCAAAGAACATTACTGCAAAGCAAAAAGTGTACTTGTTCTGGGGCAGATATGCTGATTTTATAGTCCAGTTCACTGGACTGCTGAATTTTAATATCTACATGTAAAGAAGTGGGAGAGATTTTTGAGGCATTTACTGACTCTCAGCAATCTGGAAGAGAACTCTGTGATTCTTTACAAGTTTCATATATTTTTTATTTCTTCTTTCTAATAGCAAAATGATAAAGTTTATAGGTTAGTTGTTCAAACAACATTAAATCATAAACAGAATCACAGAATCAGCTAGGCTGGAAAAGACCTTTGAGATCATTGAGTCCAACCCATGACAATGCAAATATGCAATTTTAAATGGCTTTTCCCACTCAATATTCCTTGCAACTCAATGGATTTTACAGCTAATAGAAAACAAAGCTCAGAAAACACTGCTGATAACATACTGATGCTGATATTGATTTAGCTGTCTTTATAGTAAAAATCTGATTCAGATGAGAGCAGTGGTTTATCTGGTATGGAGACTAGTGAAAATCTTGCTCAGTAAATGTATGAATAAATAAATATGTAGGTCAGACCCCTAAACCATTTTTGTCTATAGGACTAGAAAATCTTTCACCATCACATGGTTTTCCAGGGATTTTGATTCACTATCACTTCTCAGTTCACAGGCCATGCTCAGTATTTTGGCCTTCTGGTGGATAAAATTCCAGATAAGTAGGTTGCTTCCTTGACTCTCAGTGGAGGGAAAACTGTCTATCATGCAGGAAAACATGGGCTGGGCAGCAAGTGTGGCTGGACAACAGTTTTCGTCCCATGGTAGTGCAAAGTTCAGCAATGCATTCCCCACTCCCCCAGAGTGCTCTTCCAAATGCTGTTGTATGTTCGGGGTGGATAGACCATAATACTTACACAAAAAATAACAATATATGTTTCATGTGTCTTTATTACCATTTTAGTTTATTTTAGTAATTCTGTCACAACTGTGTTTTCTCTTACTTCATGGTGTTTCAGATCCCAGTAGGAAAGGGTCAAAATTCCCTGTGAAACATCTTGCCCAGGTCTCAGCCTTCTCACCAGGGGAAGCAGTGAGCATTGCCTCCTTATGGCTGCTTAGAAACCGCTCGAGGTGAGACTCCCTAAGGAGGGGACTCTGTGTGGGAGAGGTGTCGGTCAGCATGGAAAGACTGAATTGCACATCTCCAAGGTCCGGAATGACCCTTCTGTGCCTGAAGTCACAGAGTCATGGGTCCAGGGAGAAATGCAGGGACAGCACAGCATTTTGCATAATCTAGGTGACTTCTGAGATGGATAAAATGGTTTCTTTGCAATGAAATGATTTATTTGGAAAAAACTCCACATGTCTACACGGAAAGGCTGATGGAACCAGTCTCAAAAGCAAAGCTGTTTGGCAAACTTCAAGAGAGATCTTGGCAGCTGACTGAAATCTAAAGTTTTTAAGGGACAGTTGGATTTTAGCTGAGTTCTTCTGTAAGCCTGCAGGGCTCTGGCTGGCAGACCATTGCTCAACCTTTTGACTGCCAGGGTGGAGGATTGATGGCCTATCACTGAAGGATGGCCCACCAGCTAGTCTACCTTTGAACTAAAGACCTCAGGCCTTCCAGGTTTCAAAACTGGGACAACACTTGTTTTGAAACTTTTTTGATGTGTTTTGGTATTCATTGGAAATATTTTTATGAATTACCAAATCCTGACCCCAAAAAGTGTTCCATAGGAGTTTTTTTTAACAGCTCTATTCTAGTCTAAGTTTAATGACCCCGAGGGAAAAAAAAAAGTTTCTCCATAAAGGAGAAATAAAACAGAATCCAGTGAATTATTCTGAAGCAGTACTTCTCTGACCCTTACTTACTGGGCAGCCATGCCTGTAATCCCACTGGTGTCCTTGGACATCCAGTTTGGTTTGGGCTCAGTTACACAGTTCTAGTCTTAATTTTAAACATGATATCTTGGTAGGAATTGTTTAAGTATGGGTTTGTTTTTTTTTTTTTTTCATTCCATTTAGTGCACATTTGAAGTTGATTCAGTTCCCTGTTTTGCACTTATGCCAAAAGTGTCCATGAAGTCTCAAAATGAAATAATCTTGGTAGATGACTATGCATCCTACTGATTATGCTATTGTTATTATATTAATAGCATGCACTCCAACTTAAGCAATGTGCAGGTGCAAAACTCTCATTCAGCAGTACATAACTCTTTCATCTGCCATTTCTTGCCAGTAGATTTCCTGCCCATATGAATGTTTCTTGTGAAATTTCTGGAGAATAGCTGTTGGAGTTTTGCCAGTTGTGAGAAAACAAATGCACAAACACCCCACTTCCAAAACTCAACCAACTCCCCCTTCCTGAGTCATCCCTTTTTGAAATTACTAATTCATGATAGATGTTCTGCATCTAACAAAAATTACCAATTGTGACAAAATAAACACTGTGGATTAATGCAACAAAGGCAAAAGTAAAAACTCTCCTAGTTGTGCTAATGTCACTTCAGTGTGCCTGTGTGTTGATGTTGCCATGTATCACAGTACACGTGGGTAGGTCACTTTAAATATGTGCCCATGCCTGTCCTCAGTCATTCACTCTGTAACAATTCCTTCGAATCCCACCCATATATATTAGGTTCAAAAGACAGTTGGTCTTTGCAAATAATAATCAATTTTTAGAGAAACCTTAACTGTGTGGGTTTTTTTAGGTAAGCAAGACTTACTCTACACAGATGCTCAAACAGTTTTCACACAGTGAAACCTGTGGACTACCATTCAGAAACTATATTTATTCTGTATTAGGCTTCATGCTTTGTGACCATCATTCAGGAATGAAGGCAGAAGAGCACTTTGAGAATCGGAGGGGATTTAAGGGTTTAAAAAGTGTATCAGTAGGTGTTAGTCTGCAAAAACATATGTGTGTGGGAAAAGGGCAGTTAAACTAACCCAGGTATTAGTACTGTACTTTAAAGGGCAATAGATCTCTTTAACATCTAAATAAATGGAGAAATCTGCCTAGAAGTAAAAAAAAGGAATTTCCTTTTTCAAGTGTGTTATTTCAAGTGTGTTATTTCCTTTCAACAGAATTATTTACAGTATATATTTTCCATGTTTTTTGCAATATGTTATTGACATCTGAATGTTATTTCAGCATATTATGACAGATCTGAAAGTCAATCACCAATATTTGCAATATTTTTGACCCTGGTATAAACTGTGAAAAATTATCCTGTTGTACTTTCTTTGCCTACTTTCAATGTTTTGTCTTGTTAAAACAGTAGAGGATTCATTGAACTGAAGCCTGCCATTTGTTATTGGCATTTCTCAGAAGAGTAAGAACAGTCATCAATTACATATTTTTCCAACAAAAATATAAACTCAGTATATAAATGTTCAAATTATAATTCCACCCTAAGTATATATGTATCCTAAAAATAAACCACAATAAATGTTAGACTAAGCAAAAATGAAGAACAGCGAAAGAATGAAGTAGAGGAAAAAAAAGGGAAAAAAAAATATAACGAAAACTACAGCAATAAAAATTTCATTAAGTAATATAGTGGCTATGAAAAAATAGCACGTAAAGATGAAATTAAGAGACAGATAAAAGAAACTAGCCACAAAATTGTTGTAAAACCACAATTTATTATTACCTTGTGGGTGAAATTGTCATCCCAGTCATTGCAGTCAAGTCAGGTGTCCTGAAGCACAACAAAAACCCAAAAGCTTTCAAATACCCAAGATTAAGGGAAGATTTCAAAGAATTACAGTGACCATCAAATGATCATTTAATAACTGTGTCAGGCCAGATGCTTTTATAACTGTGTTCACTATCAGGTTTAAATTGAGTTATACAAATAAGAATTGCTGTGTTCTAAAGAATTATCCCCTTCTCAGAGTTTTCTGAGGCAAGAAATAAGACTTGGATGCTCTGATTTTGTGAGGGACAAACAAATTCATTTGGGACCAGGTTTGTGTTTTGAACCTCTCTATAAATGAAGATGTGTTTTGGCTGAGACTCTAAGCCACACCCATCTCTACTTCTGTTGTCCACTGTTGAGAAAGTTCTATGCAGAGCATGACTGAAATCTGTGAGTCAGATTATTCCTGTAAGTGAATTTGAACAAATTTAGTGCTTTTTAGTAGATTTGGCCCCACCACAGGACTCAGTTTTATTTTTAGGTGAGCATATGTGTCTCTGGTTAATCAGTAAGGATTGTACGAGTGTGACAATGGGCAGAGCAGGACCTGTTATTTTTCACTAATTTCCTGAAGTCCAATTGTAGTATGAGTATGTTCCTCATTAGTAATAGCACTACTATATTGGTTTTCCAACAAAACTTGCAAAATATTTCATTACTTTTTGGTCCACTGAACTACTGAGCTGCCAGTTCCTAACAGAAAGGAGCTGTAACTGAATCACTAGTAAAAGGAGCAGGAAATTAGATAAAAAGGTAACACTGGTTTTACATGCCTAAATGGAAAGGTGTTAGTTTCAAATATAGAGCCTTTCAATATATTTTCCAAATCTTCAAAAGTGCCTGACTTTTGTTGTTAAAATGCTGCACTAAATTAACGGATAGTGGAGCACTACTCCTATGACTTGCAATGATTTAGTCCATGTGACCAAAAAATAAGGTGAAAAATCCTTAAATCCTGATAGGTATCATGATCTCTTTGGAATGAAAAATCTCAGGGCTTGCATGATTGCAGCATGATTATTGGCTAGACAAAGATTTATTTTCTCATAATTACATAACAAGACATTATTTGGAGGAAGCCAGCATTGTAGCCAGATAAATACCCTTGTTCATGCTGCCTGGAAAACCATGGTAGGAACAGTTTCTGAAACACAGGTAACAAACATTGTAGAAAGAGAAAACTTTTCAACCCTCACTTCTGGTAGGGAGGATTCTCATCCAATGTGGCTTGGGTGAGAATCCTCCCTACCAGAAGTGAGGGTTGAAAAGTTTTCTCTTTCTACAATATAGGGTAGCTGCCTATATTTAAGTGGGATGAAACTGGGACATCCAGTATACACTATAAATGTAGGACATTACAGAGCTACATGACAAATGGAGTTCTTGGTCCCATATAGGAAAACACAAGTTAAACTTCTCTAAGTTAACATCAAGCCAAAGTCCACTGCTAGGAGTGGAGGAGAAAGAGGAAAGAGAATATGTCCTGGGTGAAGAAATAAAACATTTTCTCAGATCTTACTCAATACTATTGTGCTTCAGGCTCAGGATGTTGCTTCATTGTCAAATGGCTGATCTTTCCTTGTCATGCTTTCCTATTGTTCTCCATTCCTTAAATAATCCTGGCTTTCAGCTGCATTTTTAATCCATTTAATTCATTTTCAACCCCCTAAAAACAGAGATTAGTTTAGCAGATCAGGAAAGAATTAGAAAAAAGATTGCATAATGGACCTAGTTAAATTACACAGTTGCTACTTGCCTTTGCATAGTAATAAAGATGCAGTTAATAGCTTCCACTTTATTTAGCTGCTAAATTCTGTTTTGTTTCAGAAACCAACTCCACTGCAATAATTACATTGTTCTTTGCTCATTAATCTCTATTATTTGCTCTTCTTTGAATTGTTGTGACTTTTCAGAACATGGGCAGTCCTCTGGCAGACAGATGAATGTGTTGATCTATTAGATCTTTTAGGCTCTATGATTTAGACAAAGTAGTACTATTATAATGGTTTACAGATTTTAGTGCCTCATCTTAGGGCTTCACTGTTCAGTCCATGATATCATAGTATCTCTAGAGCAGAACTCCATTGCTACAATTTGTTCTATACAACAGGTACAAGAACAGCATAATGCTAATTATTATACTCTCAGTATAATACCACTATATCCGGACCACTACACTTGCAGTTAAATCAGAAAATGAGTAGGGGATTGCAAGTAACAACAGAGGTTAATTTTTTTAAAAAACTGCCTTCATACCAAATATGAATTTATGGCACTATATACTGCAGACTGTTGCCACAAACTTACTCCTTGAACTGAGTCTTGTATCATTACAAGCTCTGGTGGTAGGAGATATGTGAGTAGTTCTAGACATACTATAGAATTCTTCAGAAAAAGAGTAGTCCAGTGCAAGTCCATGAATACAGATGGAAATTTTGAAGCAGATTATTTTGTCATCTTCACATTTATGTAGGTATTCTGTGAACAAAGTATCACTTTTTTTTTCATGTATTTTTAAAAAAACTCTTGCTGTTAATATTTTATAAAAGATGAACGGAAAATCTCCCAGAGGATCAATGAATTCCTGTGGAGCAAATGATTTATTTAAATTTCATTAGTTAAGTTCCCTGAAATACACAGTTCTATATCACCTTTTCTACCTAGTGTACTTGCTACATCTGATGTTCAGTGGTCATAACTACAATCTCTCTCTCTGGTTGTCTTTAATTTGCCTTTTCCTGTGATGGAGCAGCTCTTGACATTACCTGTGTTTCATTTAAGATGTTCCATGTTTCAGTCAAGCATATTTACTGTGTTTGCTCTCCAGTCTTTCGGGAGGCAAAGAACAGAGAAAGAAAAGCAGCTTGAGATGACTTCTTTGAGCTCCTACATAGGAGGTATATCAGAAGAATGTTATTATTTACTCCTGTATTTGTTACTGTTACTACAATTGCTTACAGCATTTCTGCACTTTTCAGAACATATGAATTAAGGGAGGTGATTGACTTATCTCTGGGACCTGCTGCACTGAGTAGCTGTCAGACCACCTGGGATAGACTATGGTGTCTCACTGAGGTAGTCTTGTACCTCCTTGTCCGGGGAACTTGGACTCTGGTTAGCAGAAGACCAGAAACCTGATATGCCAAAGTTTAATGCCAAAACTGTGATCTGCTCTTCAGAGTAGCAGCCACTGGGCACCATCAAGTGAAGCTCACTCAGACCAGCTACCTCATTCTTATTGTGTTTATGTCAACTTGTAACGTGTTTCCAGGGGGAAAAAAAAGCTTTTCTGAGGAGTCTGTATATGTTCAGAGTCTTTGCAGGGGTGTTTTGACAAAATCATACTTTTTTGTCTCGGAACCATCGGGAGGGTGCACCCAGCCATTTGAATATTTTTGAGTGGTCTCTAACTGTACAAATATGAGTTGCAGTTTAATTAAGAATTTAGTGGACCTTGTATGAACAATATTTACATGTTGTCCCATCTTCAGTCATGGCTCTGCCTGCATCATGGGTTCAGAATACTACTTCAGACTTCTGACTGGCGTAACAAATATTTCAGTCACTGAATAGGGTTGTCACTGTGGATAGTTTACTTGGTTTTCACAGCATTCAGAAATGTTACTTGTCACCTATTGAACACAAGCCTTCTCACTACCCTGCCAACTTCAAAATTATGTGAGGAGAAATGTCGCTGTTTTTTTTTTTTCAGGAATATTAACTAAGGTATGCACTTCACTTCTAAATAAGCTATAATTCAGGAAGCGTTTATGTAATCTCTCTGCAGCAGGAATGTTCAGAAATATTCACATTTGAAAGTGCTGTTGCACCAGTACATCTCAATAGCTATGTCTATTTGAAGAGATTAATCTCTGGCAAAGTCCAGAAAGCTCTTGCCATGCCTGGAGCAGAATTTATTTTAGCACCTGAAAAAGGATGTCTTGCAATCTTAGTTTTCCAAAATCCTTCTACAGTGAACACTGTTTAAGTGAGAAATCCTCCCAGTGAAGATGCCTGTTGAGATGTCTGTCTCTGATGATTATAGAAGAAGTACCTTTAATCTAAGCACCTTGCAGTAGATGTCTAACTTTAAGACTTAGGAAATTAGGTGAGATGAATCCTTTTGCTTACATTTACATATCAAACTTCTGCAATGTGGATTTCCAGAACCTGACCTTTCAAGCTTAACCTGATATCTGAGCCAGTGGCTGAAGCTAGACTCCCTGGCATTTCCCACTGTGCTGGCTGGGTGTGAAAAGGCTTAAGGAGTCATATCCAAAACAAGAACATCTATTTACCACGTGTTCATGGGACACAACACTGTAAATCAGCATTATGCAAACAAACTCAAAAGAATCACTTAGGGTAGTAATTCTTAGGACTCCGACCTATTGAAAGCTGTTCTTTGCCAGTTTAAAATACGAATGTCACTTTACCTTCTCTCCAATGAGAGGGCCACAGGTGACTGCAGTCATCACAGTCAGTGCTAAGCTGCTGAAAGGGAGTAGTGTGAGTATTTGTGAGAAGGATTTGTGCAAGAATCCATAGTTCCACATCAGATCAATACCTTCACTACAGGAACTTAGAATCTGGTACATAGTCAACCCTCAGTCATCATTACTTATCCTGGATTTAACATTTCAGAGTTGGAAAATTCTGTTCAGCAGAAACACAGATATTGCAAAACATCTATGAACCAAGGAATGAACTGAGTTCCTTTGTGAAAAACATGGTACACAGATTTCTGTAGAACACAGGAACAGCAATGAGAAAGGCATAGCCGAGTGTGTCTGAGTTGTACAAAACATGGTCCTGTGCTAAAAGGAGTAGTGTTAATGGTACATGAAAATGGACTGAATATACAGTCCCAATAAGATCTACAAATAAATGGAAAGTTTGTGCATAAGTAGAATTTTGAAAGTCATATGAACATAAGAATTACCAGTTTTTATTAGACCAAATCCTGCCTTGGTGAGCATTGCGTCTTTGGCACTTCATATTCTCTTTCTTTTTCAGCCTACCTGCATCTCAGTTATGCCCAGAATTCCCAGTAAAATTGAGATACTACTACCTAAGCATACGGTCAAAGTCATTCTCTACCCTAAAGAATTTACAGTCTGAAACTGGGAGAACCTCCAAAGGGTTGGAGCTTACCCTATTGACATAAAATGATCTATCTTTCACTCTGGCAAAATATCCTAAGCATCTATTTAAAAGGTGCTGAGTGACCTCATTTAAACCAAACCTTAGGATTAGGCACACTGTTTGTTTAAACTTTTTTGAGATCCTGAGATATAAGAAGCTTTGGAAGTGCAAAGATTTTTTAACTGGCTTAATATGTTTTTGTGTTTATTTGTAGATGTAGAACTTACGCAGTATAAAATTTGACAGCTAAGACTAGTCATGAAATGTCTCCAGGAAAATAAAAACCTGTTAACAATTTGCTGACATTCATGAAAACCCCTAAATGCTTCCAAATCTGCTTCCAGGTATTCATATGCAAGAATCTGAGATCTTTTGCATTGCAAATATTAGCAAATGCTTTTTAAATCATGCTTGCTTTTCACACACCATTTATATAAGAGCTTTCTGAGTAGCAGCAAATTGTAGTCCTATTAAATTTCAGTTCACCTTCGAACTGGTACTTGAGTAAAAAATGTTTTTTTGGATATTTTATAGACAATCCAAGAGTACATGTCAACCATTAAGGATATGAATAAAAGGTTACAAATAAGAAAATATGCTCTTAATAATGAATGGGGAAAGTTCTGTCTGTTTTACACATGTGAGCAGTTAGTTCAGTCAGTTTACTAAACACTGAATTTGAACAGAGGAGATTGTGTATGTCTTTTCACTGTTTTTTGAATTTCTCTAATTATGTGTGAGGAGTGCAGCATATAGAAAATAAAAAATGTGCATTGGAGTCTTGGGTTAATTACCAGCTTTGGATACCATTCTCTTTATGGCAGCCATTTAATTTTTAAAGAATAATTTTTTTAAAGACCGCAGCTTTTAATTTTATAATCCTAATACTTCTCTATGGGTTTTTTTTGATGATATTCATCCTAGTTTAAATTAGACCATCTGGAGTGTAAGCACAAGGGGGAAATGGAGAGAAAATTTTACCTTTTTTTTGCTTTCTCTTGTGAATACCAAGTTTGTTGAGCCTATTAGTGGGTGATGTACAGCAATTTTAATAATTTAGTCTAATTATTCATTAATTCACTGGAGATGATAGTACTTTTTTATCATGTACAGTTTTGCTTCTTAATGGTTTTGCTATCTTACCCTAAGGAGTGCAGAACTGGGCCAGGCAGGGAAATAAGAACATTTGCGGTTCAGTAATATAAAATAAGTTAATCTGGAAGACTGACTGGTACTCCTTATGTCCTCTCATTAGTATCCCTTTCACTCCCTTTTTCTCATCTTCTCCTTCTGTAGTGGAGCTCCCAGTTGTCTGGATTCCTGGGAGGAGGAGAAACAGCCCTGGCATACCTGGTGTGGAGCTGAATCTACATCCAGATCCTGCATCGTGCTGGTCTCCTTGGGGACAGAGGACATAGTAACCACAGGCATCAGAACCAGAATGTGCTGCTGCAAATTTCTCCTGCTTCCAAAAAGTTTTACTACAGCTTGAAGCAGCCTGGGCATTTAAAGTTAAGCATTACTCCTGTGACCCTGACCTATTTTTTCTGCCTCTGTTTTGGGAATTTCCAGGAGGAGTATGGTGGTAGGGTTGTCTGTACCCTGTGTATGCATGTTACCTCAGGCCCAAAATCTAGATTGTCTGCTTTAATTTATGCCTCTTCTGAAGCAGAACCTGCTGCAGTTTTGTGTCATCAGTGGCCACATTTTGATCTGCTCTAAGTCCAAATTATTGGAACAATGCATTTGTGCCAAATAACTCTCCCAAATGTGCTGGGAACAGCGAGGTAATAGAAAGAAAAGCACCTCTGCAACTGCCTTGCAGAACTTCTTTTCCCTGCCCCCATCATTTCTATAAACAGCTTCTGATGAGGAAAGTGGGAATTTGGTGTGGAGACTGGGAAGAAGACATCAGTTTGGAGAGGTGAGGGAAACTGGGAAGGGCAGGAGCTTGGGAGTGGGATTAGCAAACCGGAGCCTTGGGGAAACTAGCTCTGTCTGGAAAAACAGAGTACAGAGCTGACAGTGACTGAAGATGTGTTGTCACTGCCAACTGCCTTAGTGGCCCAGGCTGTCTTGACAAAAACTGAATGCATGCAGTTGCCTAAGGAACAATGTTAAATCAATCTTATAATTTTCCCTATTTGTACGAGGTATCTTGTTTATTCTCTGTGATTTCACCTCAGAGGGTCTTTTCCATGAGAGCTTGAAGGACACCTTAATTAGCAGCAGCAGTAATGGCTGGCAGGGAAGTAGCAGCATGTGTCCCCTTTCCTGCCCTGCCTTTTATTTGGTCAAGGAAGTCACTTGCACTTTCTTTCATCGTTCCTCCTCCTCATCCTCCCTCCCTCCCCCGTGTCCTGACTCCCTGCCCGGATTCAAGAGCTTGTAGGTCTGCTGGTGGTAGCCGTGGTGGCTGCAGGGAGGAGGGAAGGGGGGAAAAAGCAGAGGGAGTAAAATAAGTGTCAAGGAATTCATTGTCTGTTCTCCACCTGTTGTTATTCTGGTCCCAATCAACCTGCTAGCCAGGCTGGAGCCAGTGGCCATCTGGAAACACTGCTCTGTTTATAAACTTGGCATGAAGCAGCACTCCCGGGCCCTGACCTCCCACACAAATCTGGAAACAATTAGAGCAAGATGATAGGCAGGCAGGCAGGGAGAGAAGGGGAGGGAAAGAGCGCGTGAGAGAGGAGGCTGCAGAGAAGGGGAAAAACAGGCAGAGTGAAGGGGAGCATGGAGAAGGTGGCAAATGTTTCTGAGGTGCAAATATTTATGCCCACCTTAAGTGACCGCTAGCTCATTAATTATTGCCCTTGCCAAAACAGCTTTTTTTTCCATGAAGGCTAAGGCATGCCTCTTTACCTCCCCCAGCAACACAGGTTTTCCAAATTATATCGTAGGTTTTACACTGCTAAAAGCTTGCCTTTACGAATCTTAGGAAATTGAGATGGGTCTGTTAGGTCTACACACTCAGACCCATACACGTTCTGTACTTGGTGGTATTGAAAACTGGAGTCAAAATACTGCAGCTCCTACCCATCTTCATTAGCAGTAATGTCTTTCTCTGCTACTCACACACCCCAGCAGCACGCCTCTCTCCAGAAAGGATGGCTGCCAGTCTCCAGCACTCCGGAGTGTGGGAGTCATTTGGGCTCAATTCTCTCAAGCCTTCCCTCGCCCCACCCTACCCACCCACTCCTATTGCAACGCATCATTGTCTTTACTGGGAAGGCTGTGCTTTTCCTGGTCAAACCAGACCTTCAGTCACTGGGTTACTCCCTAGCTGCCTCCTGGATTTGGACCCTTTCCCAGCCCTGCTCCTGCTGTGCAGGTACACAGCCTGCCCATCCACAACCTGTGCCAGTGGAGGCCTGAGGAGATCAAGGAAGAGCCACAAAACAAACCCATGCATTTCACTTTCTGCACACACGGTGTGGGGCAATCCTGTCCATGCTCTTGGTGGTTTTAATGTAGCTAGTGCAGATGCCAGTGTGTTAATTCACCTCTCATAATGTGTCCTTTCAGTGTAACAGCTGCGAGAGAGAGTCCTGCCTGGTTGAGACAAACCTGACATTCATTCCTGCTGGCCTGCCTAAGGGAGGATCCCTTTTGGCTCACCTGACACATCTGCTACTTCCACATCCCAAGAAGTCAAGCATTATGTTTCAGGTGCAATAAAACATGGCTCCTTCCTGGTGTGAGGAATTTCTAGTGGTGACATTGATTTTCTCTGAGTGCATTCCAACAGATCTGTGGACTGGACCTGGCTTATGAGGTGTGTTAAAGGTTTATTTGCCCTGCAATTCAGCCATAATGCCCAGGATAATTTTTTCCGTGATGTGGCCTTCAGTGCCTCTGGTGCATCCCCTCAGGGCAGCCTTTGGCCCTTGGGTCTCCCCAGAGCCAGTGGCTTCCCTCAGCTGTTTTGTGCTGGCCACAATACAAGCATGGCCCAAGTAAGACCGAGACAACTGATAATGCCTTAATGTTTGTAATACCAGCAGGACAGAAATGATCAGCTGCAAGGTGAGAGTTGTTTGGATTTCACAGCTCCTCAGGAGTGGTGTGTTTTGCAGTGGTGGCTGTGGTTTGATGGGGGAGCTGTTCTGAATGCTACAGGAAGCACAAAGGGTCCACTCTGCTTGTGTCATGCTGTATGTTTTGCAGTGGTGGCTGTGGTTTGATGTGGTTCTGAATGCTACAGGAAGCACAAAGGGTCCACTCTGCTTGTGTCATGCTGTATAACAGTTTCTCCATTATCTAACGCTGATATTCCCTCAAATGGTGAGCTGTCACATTTGAATACATACATAGTATCTGTGGTCTAATTCTATGGGGTGCTGGAAGTCTTTTGAAAAGTCCTTAAAAGGACTTTTCCTCTCCAAGGGATCTCAGTGGTTCAGACTATTTTTTTTCTGAATGAAATGTTACTATCATAATTAGTGCTAATTGGCAGCTTTGTTTGCAGCCTCATCAGAGTCAGTGATTAGCTAAACAGAATGAGGAGGTTGTGAGTGCGTGTCTATACTACAGATAAATAAAAGACCTCAAAGTAAATTCCTGCTAAAGCAGCACTTTTCAGAGCACTGTGTTCATGTACTGCCTCCTTCGCTTACCAGAAATTCGTGTTTCACAACCACTGGTTACTTTTCTCAGATTTGCAGTAAGCATTGAGTTATTACGTTGATGTCTGGTGTGGCTATTCCTATGCTGACCCACTAAGGAATGCATTTTGTTTTGACATGGCCTTGGAAACTTAAAGGAGTACAAAATGCACAACATGCAGGCATGTATAAATAAATACAGGGAATCCACCAGACATGAACAGCAAGGAGGCTAGAAGCAATTCAGCCATAGGGCTAAGAAACAAATTGTTACTTTACATGGCTCTGGCTGTTCGGTAGCTGTACTTCAGAGCAAAGTAATGGGTTTTAATGTTCATAAAAATGTTCAATCTGGTAAACTGATTTTTAGACCCTTACACAGTCTTGTTGAAATTGGATTCATTTGAACTGTAATATAAAATATTATGTTTACTTAACCCTTGTAAACTGATCTCCTTTGTCTTCATGAACTTGCTGGGCAGTTAAGGATCTAGCATTCCTTCCACAGTTAATAAAATTTTGCATTTTTCTCTCTATTCATATACTTAATTACAGTCAGACCTGGTTAATCAACATCAATTTCTTTTAATGCTCATTCTTTTATAAAGCTTTTGATTGAAAAATACATATGAAGGTCATGCACTGAGACTTTGTGTATTATTTAGGTTCAAAAACTCTGCTTAGATTTTTCCTGTGTGCAGCCCTGCAGATAGTGCAATGTGGATCAGCTGAGGTCGGATTGTACCTATGATGCAACTTTTAAATCATGTCAGAGGCTTTGCTCTTTATAAAAGGTGGTAATCCATTTCTGTCCTCATTTTTGAATCGAACACTCACTGATGTGAATGGCAGTTCAACATTCAAAGCGGCTCCTCTGTTCTCTGCTCTACCCATTCCCTGAATTTTCATCTGTCTTGCACCAAGGCCCCCAGAGACATTTCATACAGGCATTTCTGTGTTACTTGCGAGTGGGCAAGAATAAACTGCATTCCATATGGCCATTAGGTAACCCTTTTGCTGCATGTATATTGCATTTCCCAAGGCACTCAGGATTTACAAAAATCCTTGAATGGTATAGTTGGTGTTGATCAAAGAGTCTGTGATTCAAGAATTTATGAAGAAGGATTTTGAGGTTTTCAGTCTGAAATTTTGCAGGGAATACAGTGGCTGGAATAGTGTTTAAAAATCCTAAGGCTTTTACTGGAGTTAGTTGGTAGGTAGGAGTGAAATCCCTTTACAGCCTTAAAAGACAGTATAATTTGGTGTGCACTTTTGATAATTTAACAATGAATGCCTGGCACTTGGTTTGCTATGCATGGATTTTGAGCTCCTGGGGACCATTTTGCCCCACTCTCAATGTGGAATATTAAACAATGTACAAGATTAGAATTTTAGCTAAAAATGAGTAGTGAAAGGACATAACGCTGCAACTTTGGCTCTCACCTCAGAACTGATTAATGACTATGGAAGATAAATGTAGAAGGTCAAACCTACCAATTTTAAAACACAGAGCAATTACAGAGCTGCCATTTCTTAAGTTCAAGCTTCCTGCTGCTATAAGTCCTGCTTGCAGTGGCTTATGCTGAGTGGTCAGTAAGGCTTATGAAGGCACTTTGCATAAGGCTGAATTTTATCAGGGTGACTTTTTAGCTGTGAGTCAGATACATCTTTGTGTGTAAGCTCAATATTCTGATACCACTAGGATAAGTGTGAAGCTGTGCAGGATTTTAACAAAGCACCTACCAAAATGAGGGAAGAAAATCTGAGATTCTTTTTTGTGTATGCCCTTACCTTTGTAATTTATGGAAGATCGCTTCATCTCCGAGGAATCATCTGTATTTCATTGGGGTGCTGTTTTCTACCCAGTTTTATGGCACGACTAATCGAAGCACTGGGAGATCAAGTGCCTCACTCAGGGTCAGAGATCATTTTGGTAGCTCTGTCTTAAGCCTAGATTTCAGCATGTCTCTGAGTCTGCGATAACACAACCCCTGTGAACTCCAAAAGTAAATGCAATATAAATAACTGTGTATGGTGTAACCAGTATGACTGTGTTGTTGTTGTCATTGTTGTTTGACATTCTCTTTTAAAACACTCTGTGGGGAGAGAGTACATGAAGAGTGTCCAGGAAGGGAGTAAGTGAAAGAAAACACTTTGTTCTGTGTTCACAAAGCAGTAACAAGGACTTGTACAAACTATATCCATGTCCAGAGCTTGAATGTTTCAAAGTCTTTTCTACAGAGTGCCTTGTAATCATTATCCTCAGCATCCTGTTTAAGAGAAGCTATTAACTACTTGCAGTACTTTCCTTCTATTTTTCAGTAAGATAATATGAGGCAAAGGCCAAGAGCTAACGTCAGGTTGTGTCCAAAGCACTTTTTTTTTTAGAAGAGGTCTGTTAGTGGATATTTTTGAAGTGGCAGAAAGGAAGCACCGGGGCAGTGTCCTTCCTGGCTCTGCACAGCTTCCTGCGCGCTTCCCTGCCGAAGCGTTAGTCAGAGCCCTGCAACAATTCATGCTCAGCCTCCCACGCCATCGTCTGCCTGGCTTTGATTTTCTGAACTTGTACAATCGACTGGCGGGTCTGGTCGCTGACTTAACGATGAGTGTACAGGTGGCAGAGCAAAGAGCCAGCAGAAATATCTTTGTGATTCAGAGATTGTGAATGATCTCTGTGTGTGTGTCTCTGAATGCACCTGCCTTTTAATGCTACAGTAGACAGGGTTGTGTAACGTACCCAGATTAAAGTCTACAGGGCTCTTGGAGAAACCCACTGTGGTAAAAAAAAAAAAAATATTAAAAAATTAGAGCTGACTGCTGACTAAACTCTTTTCACGCGCACTTTTCTCATATCCCTGGTGATGAACTCTCTCCAAACTTCTTCCCACCTGTTTATGGCTTGGCTCTCTGGGCCAGGTACTGTTCCCATTGGCACAAGTGCAAATCCAGTTACCTGATGTAAATTAAAACCTGTTGGGCCGCTCAGGCTTCACATTGTTGTAGTCATTGTGGAGCCACAATTTGTGAATGGAGTGATGTCTAGCACTGTAATTTCCTGCAAATGATGAAGAAGATGCTGATTTTGCCTGTGGCAAAAGCTGCTGAGAAAGGGAAGAGAAAAACCTTTACAAGAGCAGGAGGAGATAACAAATGCAATGTGCACTGAAGAGTCAGTCAAAGAACCATGGTTATCTTTGACTGTATGTTCACTGAAAGAAACAAGGATTTGCAGGCTTTTTGTTTTTCTGCCTCTTGTGAGTGTGCTTTTTATCACTTCCTTTATTAAAAATATAAACAGCCTTTTTCTTCTCCCCTTTATCTTCTAATAGTATCACTATTAGTAACTTCATCTTCAGAGACAGTTCAATATTTGCTCTCTCTCTTAGCCTTTTTGAAGTCCTTGAGCTAATTTTGTTAAAAACAAGCTGTCTCCTCAAAGAGAGCCCCACTGCTCTGATTCCTGCCATCATTGCAGTGAGAAACTTGTTCTTATCTCCCTGTGGCTGAATGTATCAGGAAGGCTGATGCCCCTCACAAAGTCATCAGTCTTTGATTTTTCTTTAAGAGGATGGAGGACAGCAGAGTTTGGGGAAGTTGCACCCAGGGTTAGTGGAGCTAACCCTCTGCACGTTTACAGCTGCTGTTGTGAGGATCCCACTGGTCTGCACCCTTGGAATAGATTGCAGGGCAAATGTTTAGTGAGAAACCAGATATTGAAGCAAGAGATATGAAATGTTATAAGGACAAAAGGATTCTGCTGTTATCAGAAACACCTGGGTCCTCAGATCAGCCAGGGTCAACAAAGCCACCTACATTCTTCCTGCCATATATATATGAAATATAATTTGAATAAAAAGACACAGCAGATCATAAGAGATGAGAATTTTTTGCACCTTCTCCATTACCCTGTTATTAAGTTGCCTTGCTGTTTGCAAGTCAGGCTGTACTTGTGCACTTCATTGGGAATGGCTTTGTAACCATGTTCTGTAGATGACTCTTGCAGCTTTGTGAGAATTCACCATTATGTAACAGAAAACATTAAGAGAGGACTGGATGGGTTAATTTACTCAATGTTTTTAGATGATTAACATATTTGCTGTGTAGTTGTTAAACCAGATTTGTTGCTGCTTTTTTGTTATTGTTGTTGTTGTTGTTGAATTCCATATTTCATGTTAGTTTTGATAAAGCCAGAAAACTGCCCACATTGTTTTTGTACTCTGAATGGTTTGCTGTGTGTTTAGTGTATTCCCAATGCAACCTAAATGTTTGTATTATTATAGTAGCTCTGACATGTTCCCAAATAATATTATCTGGGATTTGATGTGTGACTACTGTTGATGTAATGCAAATGTGAGCTACATTAAAAAAAAAGTTTTTTCTTCCATCTCTCTTGGACACTAAAGTCTGTCTGGTACATCAGCTTACTTTTGTACTCAGCAGCTGCTTTAATAGCACTTAACAGTAAGTCATGAAATGGAATAGATCTCAATGAAGTGAAGTGAATGTCCATTCTGGGCATGAAGTTTTACATTGTGTAGCCCA